CTAACGGCTCTCTCTCTCTCTCTCTCTCCCCTCTTTTCTCTCATTCTTTCTCCACTGGCTTTGTAATCGGGAAATGGAATAGTTCGGACGTAACGGAGTCGAACTTGGTTGTTTTTCCCTTGTCGGGACGAGCGGAAAGCCAAGAACGGGATCGCGATCGATCGATCGCTCTTTTCTCATCCCCCCTTCTCTCTCTCTCTCTCTTTGTCTCTCTTTTTTTCTATTTTCTTTCGAGCAGCGGCAGGACATGCAGCGGGGTAAAGTGTGTTGTCCCGTGTACGCAGGTGGTAGCACTTTCGAGAAGCACGACCACTACAACGGCTCGCTGCTGCATTTCCACCGTGTCGAGAGGCGGCAAATGGGGGCGTATCTCTGCATCGCCAGCAACGACGTGCCGCCAGCGGTTAGCAAGCGGGTGACGCTCGCTGTCAATTGTAAGCCCGATTCTCTCACCCGATATTATCCAACTGGTCGATCCGATCCGCCAATTATCCATCCCGGAAAGTAGCACGCCGATAGCGTCGCGGGGGAAACAACGGCCGTGGTAACGATCGCTCAACGGCGCGCTAAGTTGTCGATTGTCCCTCTCTCCCGAGGGAAAGGAATAAAGGCAAAACAGGGGGAAAGAATAAATATATACTATAAGTATATTTAGGACCCCGCTTATGCTGCACTCGCTGTATCTATTCTTGGAGTGTCTATAATTCAATATACGTCGGCCTTCTTCGGGAGCCGAATTATTGGACTTCGCCTCTTTTAATTATTCGGCTTTTGAAGAGTTCTAATTACGGGTGTGCTCCGGATGTACTGTAATTGAAGAGATAGAAATGCGGAATCGGGCAGTTCGGTTTCCGAAAAGGTTCCGGCGATTCGTGCTTGTACGCAGTAAAAAAGACTTCATGTTAAACTTAACGCATTTCACGTGTCCCGAACGGTCCGCTGAAATGTTCCGTATTAATTTAACGCAAGGTGAGTATGTTGAAAAGTAACGCAAATATTATGCCGAGAATTAACACAAAACTAACGTAGTTAGTCGACGCACACTGAAGTATTAAATGTTATTTTAACACTCACACATGTGTGGTGAATATCAACACGTTAACAGCAGAATGTTGTAATGTTGTAAGATAACATAAACACAATGTTAACACGTGTTAAATTAGCATACAAGTATGTTACAAATTTGACATAGATTTTAAACAAGGACTGATTTTAACACACGAGTACATGTTTTTATTATGTAATGTGATATATATATATTTTAATACAATATCAATATAAGTATTATAGAGTATGATAAATCATAACAATACATACATACATACATATATATATATATATATATATATATATATATATATTATTATTATACTCTTGTAGTGTGGTACCTGTATTTCTATTCTCTCTTACATACGAGTACACAGATACTTACGAAAACGAGTATACTTATCTACTGACTCTTATGCCGTTTCTCCGTAGTCGCACCCGTTGTAAAAGCACCGAACCAGCTGCTGGGTGCTCCTCTGGGCACGGACGTGCAGATGGAGTGCTACGTCGAGGCGTTCCCGAACACGATCAATTATTGGGTGAAGAATCAGCACGAGGGCACGGAGGACGAGATGTTATTGGAGGGGTGAGCGCGCGTTCGATCTCGTTATTATTTTTCGTAGTGTAAATAATCCACTTCGCGATGTAACGGCACACTCGTGGAAAAGTGGGTAAAAAGAGAGAGAGAAAGAGAGAAGGAGGAGGGTAAAAAGTAAGAAGAAGGAAGAAAGAAAGGGAAAGAGAGAATAGAATAAAGGGAAGTTGAGAATTGAAGTCGCCCGCGAGCACGCTCGATGGGCCCGCTTCGCTCTGTAATGCCCGTCTCGCCCCGGCGTGCGGAAAATATTCTCAGGCATTCTTGTCGTTGCAATGCGCAGACCGAAGTACAGAGTGCGGGAGGAACGTACGGGGTACACGGTCTTGATGTGGCTCCTAATCAAAAGGTTCACGGAGAAGGATGTCGGTAGTTACAAATGCGTCTCGACGAACAGCCTGGGAAAAGCGGACGGAACTCTCAGACTGTACGGTGAGTTTGCGTTCTGCCGTCTTGCCGTGGTGTGTGTGTGTGTGTGTAGTAGACGAGTTTCGTCTGTAATTTTACGGCACAGGATCCTCGAGATCTTCCTCGCGCGCTCTTTATTTTCAGAGATTAAAATCGGCTCCGACAGAGGGTCGCGCGGGAAGGATCACGTGTCCATTATCGGTGGTAAGTGTAGCGTGTATTATCTCTCCCTCATCCCCCCCCCCCTCTCTCTCTCTCTCTCTCTCTCTCTTACTTACGAATATCCGGATATCCTCACGCGAATATCTCATCCAGCTTGACACTGTTATTAACTTTATTATTTCTACATAATTTGATTACCTTGGCACGTCAATTTGAAGAGCGAAAGAGGAAAAGAGAGAGAGAGAGAGAGAGAGACAGACAGACAGAGAGTACATCCGATTCCGTGGGCGGAATCTCACGTTCATCGATCGCGGTGTTCTCTCAAAGGAGTAGTTTCTGCAAGGATACGATTCCCGCAGGTTTGGCCGAAGCCGCTCAAAGTTCCGGCGGCAGCAACGGCGGCGGAGCGTTCTCCGGAAGCGGTAGCAGCTTGTCGCACATCCTATCAATGTTTCTCTTCATACCGATACTCTGGCCGCGGTGAAGAAGGCATCCACTACTGGTCACCGCTAAGCTACTTAGTGCCGGATGACTTTGTGCCAAAAGACAAGAATGTAGAGAGAGCGAGGGGGAGAGAGAGAGAGAGAGAGAGTGTGTATGTGTGTGTGTGTGTGAACGAGCGAGTATAAGGTAGTGTGAAAGAGAGATAATGAGAGAGAAAGAGAGTGAAAAACTGCGCTGTAGAGAGACGGAGAGAGAACGTATGGCGGTGCGACAGCGAGAGCGAGAGAGAGAGAGAGAGAGAGCGAAAGAGAGAGAGAGAGAGGTGAGAGTGAAAGAGTGAGAATGAGATAATAAATTGGAGTCTTCGGTACTCCAGATTCTTCCTACTTTCCTTTCCTACTCCGAAGAGTGTCGAGGACATTTTTAGATCAATGGATGTTGTGTCAATGTACGCGCCGCTTTAGACTCGCGTCTCGCGTAGATCGACCGCCATGCGAACCGTCGACACGCGGATCGACGAATTCCGCGGATGAGAGAGAGGAAGGGTGGTTGCCGTCGCGGGGATGCTTAACGAATCGATAATAATAATAATCAACGGTCATTTTGTCATTGGTTTATTATGCGCTGCTGACTGACTTTGGACGTCGGAGAACTTTGATGTTTCGAAATAAAAGTAACAATCGAACGTTGTATATGTTGTCTCATGTCTTGCCACATTCTGTCAACATTCACTTCAAGTCCCCAAGCGATATTAAAAGTTATTATTAGTTATATTTTATTAGGTACTAAATACAGTTGCAAGAAGATAAAAAATGGATCCCTATACGCGATATTTAAAAAAAATTCATTAACATTGGGTAGGAAAATTAAAGCATCTTTTCTTGACTGGAAAAAATGTTCAAAATCCAACGATCCAGCTAATAAGACATGATGTCAAAATGTCTTAATGACATCTTAATGACATTGGAGACGTCATTAAGACGTTATTAAGACGTCATGTAACGTTACCTTGTTAGCTGGAGAACTGTAACTTCTGCAAAAATAATGATAATAAGGTAGTGTAATAAGCATTTCATTCTTACAAGTCTTTAGTTATCAAATATATATTTTGGAATATAAAGTTTACTTATATTTTACGAAAATTCTAAACGGAATATAAATTGGAGTCCGTCAAACGGGCGCGCGTCAAAATATTTATTGAAATTATCAGGTTGTATTGCGCGAATAAAAATTAATATAAAAATGGTGCTTGCACCATTTAAAAGTACGAACCTTCCTCTTTAATTTACATACAGTCAGACTTTGGTGCGATTTTTTTTCGCCATTTTATTTAATGTTGAAGCAAAAATGACCCTTTGGCTTTGAACGCTCGAAGATGGCGAATGAGTCGATTTATGACACTTATCAAAATATGTGAATAAAGAGCTGAAAAGTTTTCCATTTAGAATGTATTTATCATATTTTTCATACAAATAATTGTCGACATAAAAATTCAATCAAAGTATAAAGTTGACAGTTAAACAATCACCGTTTTTCATTAAACTCGATATACCTTGGCGAAGAGTAGCAGCAATTTAATGATCTTTACATGCATAAAAATGAAAAATTTCGAGCTGTAAAATGCTTCATGAACTATCTCATTATCATTATTCGTATCAAAGTTATAATTCCGCTGGAATTTCGCTTATTATTCACAATAGAGTCGAAGTGTGTCCACCCCGCCATTGAGTCACATACAACTGAAAAAATGAAAATATGTCTGCTTCGTCTTTGAGTCGTACTACTATCTCGAATCATTGGTTAAGGACGGTGGCGGCTCGTAGCGGAGCATTCGGAATTAATTTTCAACAAAACCCATTATTTTTGCAGGCTAATGGATAGCCTGGCGTCCTCTTACGGTGTTGAGCAAAACTCGATTTAATAAAAAGGTTCGAGTCTCGGCTAAATGATGATCAAACTTGGCGTGTAGCGCTGCGAATTAGTTCTAAAATCTCCGCTACGAGTCGCCACCTACCTTTATGAAGAGCGGGTCGTAATACAAATCAACGATAAGTCAGAAGCTTTTCTATTTCTCAAGTAATAATATTCAACGATGGATTGGATATTAAAAATTTTTAAGGGCCTCACTGCAAAATCCGGATCTGTACGTCCCTAATGGAATATTATAAAGAATATTCAAAAAAATATTGAGTAGGTAAGTATAATTTGCACGAAAAGGTGGAAGGTGTACATATCGCGGAAAGTGCAGCTCTTGCGTCCGCGCGAGCGATGATTAGTAACCGCGCGTATTGGACTTACACCTGCATATGCAGATACTATCTTCGTGCTTTCACCATGCGAGGTCTCCAAAGTCAAATCTGGATTCGCTCTTGTCTCCCGCCGGGCCTCAGGTATTCCAATGTCGCTCCGGTCGACCTCAAACACCTGGCAACTTTGTCTTTTTTAGTAAACAACTTGACAATCTTTGTCATTGAAGAATATACGATACTAATGGTCGATTGATGAATAAGGAAAAACGGTGGGTATTTTTTCTTCATTCGTAGAGACGTATCAAACGAGCCCAGTGGTTGATTCGATCAAACAATTTTCTCGTGTGAAGAACCTACGAGGGCTCCTAACCTATACCGTATCAACCATTTTTACAGGTGTTGGAATTTTAACGAATTTTGACAGGGTACTAAAAGCGCATATGATAATAAACGTGACACAATTACAACGTGCTGCGATACAACAATACAATTATAATATCTCACGACACACAGAAGAATGTAGCTTGTCTTTTTCTTCCATTGGCGCTACAACCCCTTATAAGACTTAGGCCTCTCTGACGTACGCATATGGCGCGTGCAGATTATACACATGCATACAGGACCTACAGTCAAACTCCGGTTCCGAACGGCAATTGGAAAAGAGGTTATCATAGCATGAATACTCTTTGGTGGTTCGCCAGATCACCGAAGAGGCGCCGCGAGCGCGTGAACAATTTCTCCGGCTCTGCCGGGAAATCGAAACCGGGACTTCTGGCATAGCGGACAAACTGGTGCGCTGTTTACCATGCGACACTCATGGAGGTTATGAGCTGTCATAAAATTACTCTCATTTTGGACTCTGCCGTCATATGAGCCGCTGAGCAATTTGGTAATTGGACTACTCAGATCCCTCTTTAGTGTAAAATATAACAACGTGCGAATATCGATTGTATACCTTGTCTTACTCGTGTAATCTTGCAATCAGTAGTATGACCGAAGTTGCTCCCGCGTGCATCATGGCGGAATCCGAAGGTACAGGCGCCACCCTGGAGTGGATGCGTCCCGACCAGGTGATGCGGCTGTACCGTATGAAAGTGAAGAAGCGTTACCTGCAGGCGCGCATAACGCGCAGTGAGGCGAGCGATAGCCAACTACAGCCTACCGGGGATCCCGATCAGTTTCATTTCAGTGTTCCGCAACGCTCGCAAAAGCGCAAGAACCCGTTCGCGATCGGTGAGACGTGCAAGAAGCAGAAGGACGAGCTGCCGACCGGATTGGAGATCAGCAACGACAACACGCTGTTCGAATTGTTTCACCTCGAGGTCCAGCGGGAGAAGCAGACGGCCGAATCGCTGTCTTCGGACGGCTCGCTGACGTTCGCCAACGTTCTCTCGAAATTGGAATCCAGCGTGCACACCGCCGACGTGGGTGCACCGAAGGGCGAGAAGTGCATTCCCATCGATTGGACGTTGAAGACCAAGATGAAGTTTCTATCTCTGAGGCCCTTCCCGTGGAACGGAAAGCTGAAGACGAGCGAGGAAGCGTCCGGTACCACGGGATTCGTCAGGTGTCTGAATATCCGCGAACAGGAGACAACGTTGGACACGAGTCCGAACGCGAGGTGAAACCTTAACGGCCGCCTTTCTCTAATTCGCCAAATGGCATACTTGAATCGAACATTCTCGCAGGTTTCACCAGTGCTGCCTGATATGGCAGCATCCGTCGCTGCCGTGGCTGGAACTGTTTCCCCGCACCGCCGGCAAAGTGAGCGCCAGTCTGGCGAGCAACGCATCGATAGCCAACAGTCAGTACATGAAGGAAGCGCTGCACGGGGACTGGCGCGACAGTTTCAGATCCCTGTTCCACCTGCTGCGCGCGAGACAGTGTCCCTACTTTTACGTGTGCGCGAACACGTTCACGGCGCTCTTCCGCGCCGCCGGTGTCTGCGGACTGTCGGAGATGCACGCGCTCCTCACGCCCACGACGCGCGGATTCCGCCAGGCGTTGAAGCAAGAAGGTGGGAGGAAGCCCGGACTTACCTTCGGGCGGAATGGTCGACTCGCGATTTTAAATCGAAGTCTCGAGATCTTCGTCCGAAATTAGCACTTGCTCGCTTTATTTCGTCATACGACGTTTCCGATTTCTCTTTTCAGAAATAGAATACTCCATGCCTTTGAGGAAGGATCAAAAGAGACGGTCCGGGACTGACAGCGACAGCAGGACCGTGGACGTCGGTATGTCGAATTCGGGGACAGCGGAACATCGGGAAGGGGCTGGCGATTACGAGGAGCTGGAGGAGGAGGAGGACGAGGCTCAGGACGCGTGGCTCGAAAGTCTGGGCGTGGAGAACTCGGAGATCCGGAAGATCAATCATTCTCAGGTACGCACGGCCGGGCGAATCGACCGAGCGGATATCGTATCGTGCGTCCAGTTCCGTCCTAAGAAGCACGCTTTCAGGCGAGGGTGACGTTGGAGAAGGAGAGCGAGGGGGACAACATGAGGCAGTCTCTGGTATTCGTCAAAGGCGTGGAGGCCCAGGCGTTATTTAACTTCCTGATCAACTGCAAGTCGGCCACAGCGACTACCGGCGCGCTGGCCGGCGTCCCTCCTACGCTCCTCGCACCGACGGCCTTTCACGGCGCTTCGTTGAAACCGCTCAAGGTAAGGCATCGTCCTCCGGACAGACGTGCCTTCGTACTCAGCAGCGGTTACCGTCGCTGCAGGCGTATCCAGGATCGCAGACTTTTATCACGTAGAATTTCTCATTTTTGTTTATCACAATGAGCTACGTTATCACGCATTGTCTACGCACAAACAGATCGGTCTCCCCTTCTTAACCGAACTGGCTGTACTGGTTCGGGAAATTTGCACGAACGTTGAAGCGTGTGAACCGCGTACGTACGTGTGCGTAAATTTGCCGAGCCAACTAGTTCGCAGCCAGCTGGGAGGAACGGACCGTGTTGGGTTTTACGTATTGAACGTCCGATTCTCTGGTTGCATCAGCTGCGTCAGCGCCTAACGGTGTCCGTGTGAATTCTCTCGGTCGCAGGTCCGAGAAAGCATGGTGCACGTTAAGAACGAGCAGTATCACTCCCTCGAGCTGAAGGGACCGCTCTTGCCGCACGTGTTGCCCTCCCTCTGCCACTTGATGGAGTCCAGTCAGTTGGAGCAGTACTCGGCGAGCTGCGCGCAACTGCCGGCGACAACTTCCTTCTCCGTGGCGAAGCACGGCGCTGGTAAGCGGACAGATCGAGAACCGGGATGTCCCGTGAGTCGAATTAACCGCCGAGTGTAATTCCGTCCGCATTTCTGCAGGTGAAGCGGCTGTCGTGGAAGGGGAAGGTGCCGCGAAGATGCCGCCCAATATCTTCGGGCAGGAAAACCTGAGCGACTGTGGCTTCAGTAAGGAGCTGTTGAGGCACTTCTGCGACCCCGACCCGGCCAGGATAGAGGTTTTGGAAAGCTTGAAGTTCTCCAACGGATTGTACACGTGGTCGTGATGGCTCGCGAGGTTCAGAAATACGCGTCTGAATGCGCGCGAGATTTAAGCAACGAGAGAGAGGCAGTCCACGCTTCGTCCTTAGCAGGGAGAGATGGAATCAAGTACACTTCGAGTGATGCTTCTCTCTCTCTCTCTCTTTCCCCGAGTTTTTCATGAGTATGTTGTGCGGGACACGACTGAATCGATGTAATCGAAACTTTCTGAAATATACGCGAGATCTTCGCGAGTAGCTTGAAATGCGGCGAATTCAAGGGCGACACGTGGCGATATATTTGCAAGAGGTTACATGGAAAAAAATTGTCTTACAAATCAACGATGGATATTCTAATATGTATGCAAGAATATAATAATATCCTTAGAAGATTTTTAATCTTGAATTGAGTGCAAATAATAGAGAGAGAGAGAGAGAGAGAGAGAGAGAGAGAGAGAGAGAGAGATGCATCAATAGAAGTTCAAGTCAAATCAAGACTAAGGTATTCATAGTCGGATTTTATATTTAAGATCCTTCAGTTCATCCTCAGATGCTTGGCAGCCAATGTAATAAACCACGCAGCATCTGAAGATGATAAGTCTTAAACATAAGATCTGACTATGACATATCGGCTTAAAAATCTAAGAAGATTATAACACGTTATCGCTTGTATGTGAGAGCATCTATCATTGAATTCTCTGTCATTTAAGACTCCCTTTTCCGTGTATATAACATACGCAGTTGGCTCTGATACAGCTTCATAAAGTTTCGATTGTTGATCTCGATGTCGCGTTCGTGTCGTGTACTTGACTCTACGCTCTCGATCTTTTCACAAGCGTGCGAAACGAATCAACGATGATTCGCGAGCGCTTGATTCACGTCGTTACATCGCTGACTTGTAACGCCTGATTTACAGGGGATTCAGTCTCACACGGAGCTTTAACGGAAACGAGACTTTTCGACACGCTTCCGACACGCTCCGATATGATTGTACGACGCACATGCGCGAAGAGACTGCGATCGTGGTGTTTGCATTCTGTACTTGTAAACGTGGTTAACAACAAGCGGTAGGGCTATAAAAGTAGTATTTATAACAAGTAAGAGTGAGAAATTAACCAATCACAGTCGATTATTCTCCTTACTTTCGAATGTGATTGGTCAATTTCTTGGTCTTACTTCTTACGAACATATTCCTGCTGTCCATTGTGGACCGCGTTTTATTGACGTGTAATTTAACGCGAAACTCGTATGCTCCCCCCCCC